GAGAATTGTATGTTTTTGGCTGATGTTCGCCAACCATTCAGGGCAATTTTGTTTATTAATTTTTTAAATTAATAATCGATATTTGGCGTAAAGAATCGATGCAGTAAAATCACGAACATTAGAATCACGATGCATCATCATGACGATTATTTTGCACACCCCTAATTCTGAGTAGGAGAAGTTGCTTAATCAGTGGCTGACTGAATACTTTTTCACCCCACTGTAGTCCCTCCCTCCAGCGTGTCCTGGCCTCCTCCCGGTGGGACGTCCTAAACTGGAGCCACCTCAGCTGTTCCTCTCGATGCAGAGGAGCAGCAGCTCTACTCTGACTCCTCCCCTGATGACTGAGCTCCTCCCCCTCTCTAAGGGAGAGCGCCGACACACTACGGAGAAAACTCATTTCAGCCGCTTGGATCCGGGCAAAAGAAAAGCGTCCTGTCTCTCCCCGCGGCTAAACGCCAAAGGCGGCTCTTCAATCACTCAGTGGAGCTGAATGAAACTCATGCTGCTCTTCTATTGGAGATAAACTGGAATTAGTTTCCTTCTGTTGCTCAACAAAATAAAACTAAAACCTCATCTATTATTAAAGTAAAGTAAAACATGTTGAGGTTTGTCTGTTTTTTAGCCTCACAGGCTCCAAACGAAGGTCATGAGAGAGAAGAATGAGTCTCAGCCTCCTTCATGGCGTGAAGGAGAGGACTGCTGTTATTAGGAGATCCATCTGAGCAGAGAGAGATAGATTAACCTGACAGAGAACGACCTTGATCAACTAAAGTCCTCCAGATGTGCAAAGGTGAGTCTTTATGCAGGAGGTGGGTTGGTTCCCCTGGGGGAGAGTGAGTGCAGGATGTTTGTAAGGTATAAAATGCTCCATCTCTCCATCTGAGGACGTTAAATTAATTTGAACCTTTTTCTTGCCAGAAATGCGTCTATCTCTGCTTCCCATCTCCATAGTGACAAAATGTGGAAATGTTTTTCGCTGAAATAAAAACAATGGCGTTTTCTCACCTCGTCCACGGAGCGAGAAGCGTCTACGGTGCGCAACCTTCCCCAGCTGCTCGTACCGCTGGATGATGGGCCGCGTAGACTGCAGGTAGGTCTGGATTCTGCATGAGAAAAGAGTCACGGACAGTAATTGGGGGTCAGGCCGCACGGGGGGGGGGGGGGAATCGACGAAAACGGAAATGAGGTCAGAAAACACGGGCAGGTATCCAGCGGCGTGAAATAGGCCACAGCCGGCAGAGCGGCGGGATTTTAACCTCATTTCTCTGCAGAGAAACGCACCTTTCTCAAGACTCTCCCTGGTTGTCGTCTGTGCGCCCGCTGCTCTTTCCCTCTTTCTAAGCATCTGTTGATGCAAACCTGTGTGCAAAACATGGGATCCTTACAGGTAGCTGAGCAGGAAATACGATAAATAAGGCGTGGGGCGGGGGTGGGGGGGTACCTCATTGCCGCAGTCGAAGAAAAGCACGAACTTGACAGTCCGCTTTGTCGTCCATGACCCGGTTCCAGCCTGAAGTTGTCCTCGTTACGAGGGAAGCCGTCGATTAGGAAGCAGCTCTTGGTCTCATCTCTGCTCATCGTTTCCTCCATCGCCTGAAAGAAAGGATGCGGAGCGTCGACATCAACGGCACCGAGACAGGCGCCTGGTTTGGGCGACCGCCGCGCTAAGGCGTTCACACCAGGACAGAAACGGAAAAACTACAGTTTTTTATTACATTTAAAAAAAAGGTTTGGAGGTTTCATTTTAATAATAATACATTTTATTTAAAAGGCGCCTTTCTGGAGACTCAAGGTCACCGAATAAAAGCATAAAAATCACAGTGACAGAAACAAAATAAAAACATTTAAAATGCAGAGACTGTGACAATAAATGGATATTTAAAGAGAATAAGCAATCTTAGACGGATGAGCTTTGAGTTGCATTTAAAATGGAGAATTGAGTCCGTGTTTCTAAGTTAGGGGGGGTAGAGAGTTCCAGAGGCGGGGGGGCCGAGCGGCTGAATGCTCTGCTATTTATAAAAAAATTTTCAAATTTTATCCTTTTTCAAACTGAATTTTATATATTTATATTAGGGATGCACGATATGGGATTTTGGCTGATATCCGATATGCCGATATTTTAAAACTCATGTAGCCGATAACCGATATCGATACCGATGTTAAAGCTGGACAAAAAAAGTAGTCATTGAAAATAGCAGTTTTGTTATCCATTTCTGACACTTTGAAAAATAATATACTCAAATATAATTTCATATGCTGATAAAATGGATTTTAAAAAACGCGGTATCGATCTATTTTACTTTCAAAAATCTGGTGAAATTTCATCGTTCTGTTACAAACTCTCCTGATATTTTTGCAAATCTTGTGAGATTTTGTTAGTAAAATAGATCGATACCGCGTCAAATATCAACATATAAAAATATGGCAACATTTGGTGAATTTTTCGGGGATTTCGTAGCATAACGATGACATATAGCAATATTTCATTAGTAAAAGAGATTGATATGGTGTTTTTAAATGGCAATAATATCAGCATATGAAGATATTGGGATATTTTAATGGATCAATATTTTTTTCCCTCGTCTTTAGAATTTTTAAGTCTGTAAAAAAGAAGTTTTGGAGGAAGAAGAAGAAGTAGTATTTTTTTTTTTTTAGACTTTAGAAACTCAGAAGCTGATCGAATATCGGGTTAAATATCGGTGGGTGCCGATGTCGAATATTCAGTTTTAAGGCCGATACCGATAGGGGGCCGATTATATCCTAGCATCCCTAATATATATATGTAAATATATATATTTCACATATTAAAATGAAAATATTATTTCAGTTTAATAGGGAAAAGAGTTAGAATTTTTGGGAAATTCCATTGGACCAAGTAGCACTAAATTGGTGACTTAGAAACGACGCTGTCAAGGAACGCTATGGACAGCGGAAACATGCAAGAGGAGGAGAGTTTAGTGTCGGAGGTCGTGGATGAGTCTCCCTCCGTCATCCATTTTTTATTTAGAGGAGGAAAGCGGGGACAAGATGTTGTGGAAGAGGACGCCAGGGCGGCAGAACTTGGTTTGGTGTAGAAGGCTTCCAGCCGTCCATGTTTGAGCCCTTGCCTCGCAACGCTGCCATTTCTGTTAGCTCTAACGCCTGCCGAAGACACAGACGTCCATCCCCGTGAACACTGGGACGCAACTCAATGGAAAGGAAAGGATTCTGGTTTCAACCGTTGCGTATATTAGCTGCGACACATGAATCAAGATGCTATGACCGAAAACATTTGATTGACAGATGACCGTTGATATATGATGGCTGAATTTAGGTGTTCAGGCTGACGTAGAACTAACTGGCCTAAAGAAAGATAATGGAAAAAAACACAGATTTTAAGACAGGATTTGTTCTTTTTTAAATAGAAAATTTTCTAACTTTTGGGACAATATGGTCTGATAAACAGAACAATTATATACATGTTTAAGCCAGAAAGACATTTAAATATGATTTCTCTATGACTTTAAAGCAAACCTGTAAATGATAAAAACCTCCTATATATATTGAATCAGATCAGCATCACTGATCTTCCAATTTAAAGGAATCAATCGCTGCTCCTGTTTGTTTTAATAGATTACAGATTAAAACCAGGTTTTTTTTCCCCCTGGTCCGCATTTCAAATAGATAAACTATATAATGTGAGACAGGAACTGCTGTGTTTTACCGGCAGGGCAGCAATGAAAATCTATAGATCTACTTTAGATTTCCATCCAACTGTCGACTTTTAACTCCAGCTTCCTGTCCCTTCAACATCACGGCTCCATATTGACCTCTGCAGCCTGCATGCGATGCGTACCTTCCTGAGGAGGCTGATGGTGATCTCCACCGGGAACGATTTTGCCTTCTTTGATGTAGGTGTCGATGAGCTGTCCGTACTGGGACCCTTCTCTGCCGCGCTCTTCCCTCAGCAGATCTCCCGCTGACAGATGAGTGTAGCTGTAGGCCTGAAAACACAAAACAAAACATTTCTGCCTTCGTTCTAATTCGTCTCTAACACGAGAAATCCCACAGATACGTGAATTTTTGTCAGCCCCTTCAGTTTCGGTTTTAGCTCAAGCCTCTCTCTTTGAGACTGTTTTACCTAGTGTGGGTGGAGGGGGGAGATCATATTTGTAATTGAATATTCCCATCTGCACATTTGTAATCTTCTATAGTATTTAAACTAGTTCGTTGTTAGATTTTTAGTTATCCGAGCAGATACCTCTATTTATTTTTATATCTTAGGTTTTCTATTTTTATTTTTTTTTATGCTATGGTTCATTATATTTTATTATGCACCGTGGGTTGAGAGGACTGCAATTTCATCTGTGTTGTATGTTTACCATGTAGCACATTTGACAATAAAGTTGAGTTGAAAAATATAACTAGGTCTACGTCATCAGTGTCGCCAACAGCGCAATGATTTCAGCGCAGCGATCAGATGATAACTGATCTGTACAATGAAAATAGCTGCATGAGGTGGAACGCTGTAGAAAGCAACAATATTTATACAATAATGAGCATTATTTGCTTGGGGGAAATATAACTCAGGTGAATCTCTCCCCGCTGCAGACATTCAACAGCATCGTGAGCCCGCAGTAAAGTTGGCAATATATTCACAAATTCGGTTTTTCCCGGGGATTAAAAAATATCGCAAAAATAAAATTCTACAAAAACAGACCCCCCTCTGCAACCACAGCGAGCCATACATGAGCTGCAACCGTAGTAGGAAATTACATTGGACCTAGGGGAGTTTTAAAAGAAAAATGATTATTTTTTAGACTTTATACAGTTAATCTTAGGGCATGGTAAACACTCTCACTTGAACAATTTCTTAATTTTGAACCCAAGGCTGGTTAAGTTTTAAAAAACACTAAGGGGTAAGTATTTGACCACCACCCCATAGAAGGTATCTCCGGGGGGGTGAATAACATTTAAGCCTGCGGGAGAGATTTTGCTTGGTTTACAGAAGGTCAAAAGTTTCCAAAATTTAAACAACCGGGGGATGGGGGGCCCCCCCGCTTTCCCACAAGCTGTCGTGAGAGCTTATCTTGTGTTTTATGATTTTAAAATTCTAGATGCCAGGACAAGTTTTCCCCCTTTTTCTTGTTAAAACAAAGAAGCAAATGACCCCAGATTTTGCATTAAAAAAGGGGAAGCCCTGCATGTCAGAGAGGGCTTTTGGTTGGAGACCGGGGGCCACCCTTTTTTGAATGGATTAATACAAGGATAAAGCTTTCTAAATAAAAGTTACAGTCAGATTTTGCTTTTGCAAACTCTCCAAAATGTCTTGTATCTTTGTTTTTTTTCCTCCATGTCAGGTAAGGAATGTATGTCTCTTTTGTTCTCAGTTTCGGGTAAAAGTTTGGCATTGTCTTTTTTCAAATTTTATGCTTTGTCTTATATTGGATTAAACTCTGTAATTCTGTAGTCAACACCCTTTGCAGATTTTCATATTACCAAACGCAGCTCGCCGGGGGGCCCGGGAAGGGAAGAAAATAAAACCCAAACCCTTTTTCCCAAATTTTAACTATGTTAGAATATTTTCTTCCTTCAAAATTGGGGGCTCGTCCCGTTCTGGAACTGGGCCCCGCGGCTGTTTGGCCCTGATTGATCCTTTCGGCCCGACGTTCGGGGTGGAAAGAAGTATTTGATTTTTTTTTCAGTTGTCTGAAGCGCCGTGGGGTGGGGACCGGGTGATTTTGCGTGTGGGGCCCTCCAGAATTCAAAGCGCAGAGGTAGATGGACCCCCTCCTAAATGAGTCGGTTTTTTTTAAGGGATTTGAAAAATACACTTTTACAGGGAACTGTGGCTATTAAAACAGCCCCCTTTACTTTTAACTCTGATTAACGGGGTTTTTAAAAAATGTATATTTTTTTTCCCCCTGAGGGAATGCTGTCCCCTCTAAAAAAGTTTTTCGGTGTTCGTGTTTTAATTAGCAGGGGCTTGTATCACCCCGGAGATTTCGACCATCTCCAGTGGATTTATAATTTTTTTGGGTTTAATTGGATCAGTTGTAACTCTGGAAAAGGACTAATAGCGGGTTAATTTTGGACCGAGTTGTATCACTCGTGGAAAATAAAGGACTTAGCGGTTGGTCACCTTTCTTTGGCACCTTAACGGTTCTTATAGAAAAGGACTAAAAAAAATTTTATTTGATTTAAACGGGTTCAATGCTCTCCCCAGCTGAAAAAGAAAAAACCTTTTGTCACTGGGCGGTTTGGAGTGACGAAAAAACTAAATTGAGGTTATTTTGCCTCGAGCTTGCCCCAGCTCTAAGTGTGGGGACTGAGAAGTTGAAATGAGAATAAAAGGTTTTTGTAAAATTAAAATTTGGGGAAAATTTTAAAAGATGGTCATACATTTTTTTAAAGCCGGGCACCTGACTTTTTCTTTTTTTTTTCTGTCTTTTCTTGATGAACTAAAAACGTTGCTGTGTTTCTGTTTTTTTGTATGTTTCTTAGGTTTGTGTCCCGTGCTTGGCTGCGGGTTGATTTTTGGCTGGTTTTTTCCCCCCTTAACTGTAGCCTATTCCCACCCCCGGCTGTGTTATTCTCGTCGTGTCTAAGTGCTGAATTGGCAGAAATGATTTGGTTTCAAGATTTTTTCTGAAATATTGTTAAAAATTTTTTTTGTGGATTTTTGTATTACTAACTTTCTTTTAAAATGTGCTTCTGGGGGACAGAGGTGTCCCCCGTTTTGGATGCAATTTTTGTTTCACAGGGGGGGGACTGATTGACCCCCCTTTTTGCATTTTTGGGAGTGCTTCAGTTCTGTGCTATTTCCAGCTCAGCTTTCAGGATTCTTGGATTTTTGATGTAAATTTGCTTTAGGACTGTGTTTTGTTTTGAGATGAAAATAAAAAATTACAGATTTCAGATGTTTTTACTTTCTCAGGGGGTGAAATGTGTTGCATCATTCCCAGGTTGAGCACGGAATGATCCAATTGTTTTATTAAATATTTAAACATTGACAATCACAAAATTTCAGGTTTCCTGACCAGGGGGGAACACCCTCACTTTTTGTAAGAGAACAAAATGAAACATATGGATTTTTTTCTGCGAAACAGTGTTTTCTACACTGTTAATGTGGGACATGTTGAAACGCTAATGAATGACTTTGTTTCTTGTAGGACGATCTTCGTGTGCAGCCCATTTCGCATATTACATGACCACATGAACGGTTTTTGGGTTTTCCTACAGGGGGTCTAGGTAGCCATTTAATAACAGTGGGCTATCATGAAATACGGTTGTGTGTATAATTTGGAGTTTTTAAAAAGGTTCACTCAAAACTGAACAATATTAGAACTATTGGATAATAATGTCTTTTTATTATTTTTTTCAACCATGGTGTTATAATATTTGTGTTTAAGACTTTTACAGGATGAATTTTGGTTTGAAATCTGGGGTAACATCCTGCATCTTTCTTACAATGGGGTGTTGATGAGTGCTTGAGTGTGAATGAGAGTGAACGTGTAGGCTGATGGCCTTTGATGGGTTTTAGGATGCTCTATGTAAATATGACCTCAGTTTAGTGTGTAGCTGTGTGATATTTTTCTTATTTTAAACTATTTAGGTACACTGAAGGTTTTGTTTCATAAATATGTTTTTATTACTGCTTTAAGGGACAATTTTAAGGTAATGACGATTTCATATTTTGTTGTCACAATCTGGTTGAAGCTGAATCATCTGCTTGTGCAGTGAAATTAATATGAAACGAGAATTCAGCCTTGGCTTAAAGCAGATAGATGTAGTTATTAGGAAATTGTGTTATCCACTTTGACTAACAACACTATCAAACTAACCTAAATTCTAACTAAATAAACTTGGTTTATATTTCATATGGGTGACTGATTGGACATGTTGAAATTTTAGCATAATGGGGGTAAGTTCTTCCATTTTTGTTTTTCCACCTCTAAATTTTTTTCTTTTGGAAATAAGAAAACACAGGGGGATGTTATAAAGATAAGACATTACAGATGGAACTTTGAAATTTACATAATCTCAGTCTAGTTTGAATACTAGATGGAAGATTTGGAGAAATGGTGGAACATCTTATGATATTTTGGTTTTTCAGCAAATTATTATATAAAAGTGACATAGATTCCAAATTGTTTTCAAAATGAGAATTTTATTATATCAACAGGGGGAGAAGCAGAAGTAGACCCTAATTCCTGGTAAATTTTTGGATATGGTTAATGGTAAATTAGTTAATCAATAATTTTGATTTTTTCGATTCAACAATAGTGAATTATGGATTTCTTTAATGTAGAGTCATATGGCCTTCCTGCTTTACTACAATATGGTGTATGTGATATAGAAGCTTCTACTAAATTAGATTTGATCATCTCAAATTGAACGGTTTCAAATAACATCTATGCCATGTCTATTTACATTTAAAATTGTTGATGGATTTCTGCATCATTGCTGACTTTGATTATATACAGTTGGGTGTAAATTGTTAATTTTGAGGAAAATTTTGGTTAAAACTGCTATGGAATTCAAATAAAATGTAAATAATTTCTGAAATTTTGAAATAGGACTTTGTCTTGAAGCGTGGGACAATGATAAGGATGTTTGGTATTTAGTAGAACAATATGCAATTCATAATTATTTGACCAAGGGCAATTCCATCACAACTTTTATAAGTATCAGTACTTGGACATTCTAGAGTTTGTTCTAATTCTTTAATGAGTTTGTGAGGTTGTGATTTTAGAATTTGTAGTTGATATTTGGCACAAGCAGAGTGAATGTCATCGAGGTATTGACGTTTATTGATTTTGAACAGTAAGTGTCATTATTTTCTTAATTCTGGCACATCCGATCGTGGACTATTTTAACAAATTTCTATCTATTCTTTTTGCAGTTCAGGATTTGGGGCAGTTGGCCGTTTGTGCTACAACAACAACAAATCTAGAGCCACACGGGAGGATGCATCACAAGATAAATTTTATTTATGATAGTG